ACATATGTCTGTGTTTAAACAATAGATTTGAAATAAACAATGATAGCACAGTGACTATGAAGCTGAAGAGCTAGAACTTCAGCTGCTTCAAATCTCACTTCATGTCACCACTTAAAGCCTTTGCACTGAAAATTTAAAACAGTAAAACAAAGAGCAAACTGTAAAGTGTGGTAACTGCAAAGTTATTATTTAGTAAAGTTGTATTATATTATTATTATTTAGTAAAGGTGTTTTACAGATTCTTAATTTTTACAGTGTTTTGTCTATAAACTGTAATATAATTAATGTACAGTAATTATTGCAACAGACGGCTATATAGGTATTTTCTTCAAAGAAATATATTAATGTAATTGGCCCTGGTTAGTGTGGCTCAGTGGACTGAGTGCCAGCCTACAAACCACAGGATTGCCAGTTCGATTGCCAGTCAGGGCACAAGCCTACGTTGCAGGCCAGGTCCCCACAGGGGGCACGTGACAGGCAACCACACGCTGATGTTTCTCTCCCTCTCTTTTTCCCTCACTTCCCCTTCTAGAAAAAAAATTAAGTAAATAAAATCTTTTTTTAAAAAAAGAAATATATGAATGTACTGGAAAATCATTGATTCAATACTTATTTCCTTTTTTGTATTGTACTATTTTTACTAACACACAAAGTTCAATAAAAGAATATTTTCACTGTCTGCATTTCTTTTCTTGCCATTATCAGTAGTATTATTCATTGTATTTCATGACCGTTATTGAAAATAATGTCATTTAGAGGAGGTAGGTATTTAAAAATGATCTGTTCCAAGTGACAAATGAGGTAGGTAGGCCGCTGGTACACTGAAGAAAATAAACATGGAGTTAGGAGGGCTATAAGGAGGCGGACAGGTGAAAGTGCTAGAAAGGGTGGGAGAAGGGATTTCACAACACCCTGTGCGGGGACTCAGCAGGCCTGATTAACTGGAAGCTGGTTCAAAACAGAGAAAGTGGGAGAGGAGGTTAGATGAGTGAGCAAGGGTCAGACCAAGCTTAGCCTGGTGAGCCAGGTGAGTCTGTTATTTATCTTGAGAGTGATGGTGAAACCATTGGAAGAGTTTAAAGAAGGGAAGACACAGTGAGATCTGTGACTGGAAAATCCCATCACTGTGTCTTCAGGCAGGAGAGTGGAATGGAAGGTGCAGGCACCAGAACGGAGGCTGGGCAGGTACCCAGATGAGAGATGATGGCAGCCTGCACTGGTGGGCTAGTGGTGGTCAGCTTCTCTGCAAGAGCCTCGCCGGCCTTGAACTCCCATGGCCTGTAAGGTCTAGACTCAGGGACTCCCATCTGGAAGGACTTACGGTAGTCTGTGTGTACTGATAACTACCACATCCCAGTGGCAGACTGGAGTTTGGGGTTTTGTTCTACTTCCTTCTCTGGGCTTCCAAAGGCATTTGAGTGCACTCATCACAGAGCGCTGACTTTTGATTTATTCAATAAATATTTATTGAGCACCTACTTTATGCCAGGCAGCCTCCTAGGGATAAAGCAGTAAACAGACAAACATCTCTGTCTCTTGGAGCTGACATTCTAGTGTAGGTGAGACATCGAAAAACAAGTGAATAAAATAACTGCAAATGTGGTAGGTACTATGAAGAAGATAGGAAAGGTGATGAAAGAGAATTAATGCAACCAAAATAAAGACACCTGATAATACCAAACTTGGGACAGGATGTGGATGAACAGAATCACTTATATGTTGGGGGAAAGGTAAATTGGTACAACTTGAAGTTTGGCATTACCTTGTAAAAGTTAGCAATCACATGTCCTCAGATGTGCAATCACACTTTCCATGCGATACTTGGGAGACCTTCCTGCCATTGAGCACCAGGGACACGTTTAGGATTGTTAACAGTAACACTCTTCATAAGAGCAAAATCCTGGAAGTAACCCAAATGATGGTGGACAGGACAATGGATGGGAGGGAAAATTGTGTATATCCCACAGTAGACCCACAGTAGGAAATGTATGGTACTACCCGGCACAGGTGCAATAATGTAGATGAATTTTAGCACTGTAATATTGAGTGAGAAAGTAAATACCAGAATATTGCATAGAGCATCATACTTTGATAAAGCTAAAGAGAATTTTATTTTTAAGGAAACATATTAGAAAGAAGACAAAAGAGAAATTGGAATCCTCATACACTGCTGGTAGGAATGTAAAATGGTGCCGCAAATCCATCGAGACAGAAAGATTAATGGTTGCCTAGAGCTGAGGGTTAGAACAGAGGTGAGTAGAGTTTCTTTCGGGAATGATGAAAATATTCTAAAAGTGATTGCAGTGACAGCTGCACAACTCCGAATATACTACTGATTTGTACACTTTACCTCGGTGAATAGTATGCTATGTGACTTCTATCTCAATAAGACTGCTAAGTTTGTTTTTTTTTTAATGGATGGGAACATTCAGGATAGACATTACATCAGGTGTAGGAAGGCAGGGGATGGGATGGGAAAGTTCATAGGGAAGGTAGGTTATTTTCAATTTTCCAGTTCTTGTGTTAGGTTGCTGATTTCACTGGTTTTTCTCATTTATAAATGAATACATAAAAATACGTATGGCCGACAATGACCGGCTCACAGACAAGTAATTCTGTACACCTGAGATGTACAGCGACGGGTAAGGAACAGCAGAGAGTGGCTAGGGCAGGCCTCTTAGGACAGTCTCATCTGAGCTGAGGCTAGAATGACATGGTCCAGCCTGTGGGGACCGGGATGAAGAGTTTTCCAGGCAGAGGGGCAGCGTGTACAAAGGCCACGAGGCGGGCCCAAGTCTCCTGTCTTTGAGGAACATCCAGGAGGCCAATATGTAAACAACAACAATAATAGCAGCAGTTACAGGACCAGAGTGAGACTTCTGAGAAGCCCTGAGCATTTAAAAGATGGCGGTGTCCATATGATTTAAAATATTAAATGGAAAAGGTGTAAAAGTGTTAGAAAAAACTTTAAAGCTTTTATTTTCCCCTTGATCACTAGGCGTCAGGGATGTGTTTACATCCATTATCCCATTTAATTTGTGAAAGAACCATATGAAAGATAAACTGATTTTTCCCCATTTTAAGACAAGCAAAGGAGGTACCACTATACGAAAACAGTAATTCTTACTCCGTCTAACACTGATACGACCAGGCTGCAGTTATGAATGTTCAAACTCAGGGACAGCGTCTAGAGAATCCGGGGAGGAAGCATTTGGTAGGGAGCAGGACCTTCTCCTTCTGAGTGCCCTGTGACTTTAAGAGTAATCCCCTCCCGCCCGCGCTGCTCCAATTTCCCTCTAGGGCCCTTGGAGCATCACCCCGCCCCCATCCCGCTAATGCGGAGCTTCACCTCAACCCTTCCCCCATTCCCCACACCCTCAGGCAAGGCTTTTAGCCCCTACGCGCCGAACAGAGGCGAAGTCTACTGCCAGACTAGTTCCCCGCGCCTCGGGCGGTGCCCACCCTCTACGCCCTAGCACAATGCCATTTTAAAGCCCCTAATTCCGACCACTTCCAGCAACTGACTTCGAGGGACTAGGCCTCAGCGGCCCCTCTCATCGCCCAAGTCCCAGTCGCAGTGAAGGTGACTTCTCCCGGGGTTAGCACACACCCCGCAGTGCCCGAGCAGGCTCACACGTGGTGAGCAGGGAGCGCGCAGCCCCTCCCCGCCACGCGCCTCGGGCATGCGTCGCCGACACGCCCCTTGATCAGGCCCCGCCTCCATGCCCGCGCGAGCCAGTCCGTTTCGCGGACGGGCTTTGCGCCCTAGTCCCGCAGCAGACCCGCTGCAGTGTTAGGGGACCTGGTTATGAGACGTCCGCACTTTCTCGAACCTCGCCCTCGGACTGTGAAAAACCGTCCTACTCAGGACTTGGTTGGTAGGCGAGGTGCCCCGACCCCTTGTGCGTTGAGCAGGGAAAAAGAGCTGGAACCGCAAGCCCAGGATTCGAGCCCTAGCCCACAAGTCCTCGGTGCATTGGATGTGAGCGTAATATTCCCTTCTTTCTCAGGATTCTACTGGCGCCTCGAACGAGATACTAAATGAAAGGGGTCATGGGACCCAAAAGCATTGTTGAGCCCCTATGTGGCTGGACCCTATCTGTAGTAGGCAGAAGCAGGAACTACATCTATGACACGATGAATCTACCCCCTTAAAGAGCTTTTCTGAGCCCGGTCTCCCTAATTCTTTTCTGGGACGGTCCAAAAAGGAGCTCCCCGAAAGAGGAGGGGACAGGGCTTACCTGACGGCAGGTGTAACCAAATCTAAAATTTCAAAGGCAATGCGGGGCAGGGGTAAAGCTTTCGGAACCAGATGGGAGACAAGATCGGCGCCCCCCCCCCACCCAGTCCCCAATCTAAGAAAAGAAACCGATCTCATCCGACACCCCCAATCCCAGACGCGAGACCGCGCAGCCCCGCCCCGTCCCGGCAGCCAGCGATTGGGAGATGCAAATACCGGGTTCTCTGCCCAGCAACGGGTGACGCGCCACTCGAGCGCGAGGCGTGGCCCGGCCGCAGCCCAAGCGGGCACCTCGGTGTTTACACGGGGCGGCCCCGCGCGCGCCGCAGCGGCCCGCAGACGGCGAGGGGGAGGGGTGGTGCGCGCGCCGGCGGGGCCGCGCGGGGAGAAAGACACTGGAAGGCAACCGGGCGGGGAGCGGCGCGCGCGGGCCGCGGCTGAACAGGAGGCTGCTGAGAGAGCCCGCGGGGGTCCGGGGGTGCGATTCCTCCGCCCCCGCAAAACAATGTGTAGCGTGCAGCGGGGCGCAACTTGCGGGAGGCGGCGGGGACGCGCCGAGCCCGCCTGAGACCAAGCCGCTGACCTCCCCCCGCCGTCCGTTGGGCCCGAGCGCCCAGCTCCTCGCTCCCCAGCACTCGGGGGCCGGGCCGAGCTGCGGGGCGGGGCCGCCCCTCAGTCGCTGCTGCCTCCTCCCCCACCCCCAGCCGCGGAGGATGCGGACGGCCCCCGGCGGCGTCTAGCGGCCCCGGGCCCAGGCGCGATGGTGCAGCAGCGGGGCACGCGGGCCAAGCGGGACGGCGGGCCGCCGCCCCCGGGGCCGGGGCCGGCCGAGGAGGGGGCGCGTGAGCCCGGCTGGTGCAAGACCCCGAGTGGCCACATTAAGAGACCGATGAACGCGTTCATGGTGTGGTCACAGCACGAACGGCGGAAGATCATGGACCAGTGGCCCGACATGCACAACGCCGAGATCTCCAAGCGCCTGGGCCGCCGCTGGCAGCTGCTGCAGGACTCGGAGAAGATCCCGTTCGTGCGGGAGGCGGAGCGGCTGCGCCTCAAGCACATGGCGGATTACCCGGACTACAAGTACCGGCCGCGCAAAAAGAGCAAGGGGGCGCCAGCGAAGGCGCGGCCCCGCCCCCCCGGCGGTGGCGGCGGTGGTGGCAGCCGGCTCAAGCCCGGGCCGCAGCTGCCTAGCCGCGGGGGCCGCCGAGCGGCAGGAGGGCCTTTGGGGGGCGGCGCGGCGGCGCCCGAGGACGACGATGAGGACGACGATGAGGAGCTGCTAGAAGTGCGCCTGGTCGAGACCCCCGGGCGGGAGCTGTGGAAGATGGTCCCGGCAGGACGGGCTGCCCGGGGACCAGCGGAGCGCGCCCAGGGGCCGTCGGGTGAGGGAGCAGCTGTCACCACCGCCTCCCCGACTCCGTCGGAGGACGAGGAGCCTGAGGAAGAGGAGGAGGAGGCGGCGGCGGTGGAGGAAGGCGAAGACGAGACGGTGGCGTCGGGAGAGGAGCCTCTGGGCTTTCTATCCAGACTGCCCCCTGGCCCAGCCGGCCTGGACTGCAGCGCCCTGGACCGCGACCCTGATCTGCAGCCTCCCTCGGGCACGTCGCACTTCGAGTTCCCGGACTACTGCACCCCCGAGGTTACCGAGATGATCGCGGGGGACTGGCGCCCGTCTAGCATCGCCGACCTGGTTTTCACCTACTGAGCCCACCGTCAGCGGGGCGCGCAAGCCCCCTAACCAGCTGTTTACATACAGGAATCAGGTATTGGGGCCCCTCGGAGGCCGAGGCTGGCACCCCATCTCCCACGCAGCCTCCCCCCTCCTAGACGTGCCCATCCCCCCCTTGAATCCAGACATGCCCCTCCCCCGCAGACACACCCCAAGGCAGCCCAACCCCCACCCTTACCCTGACATCCAAGCTCCTCCCCGTCCTGCCCCCTCCTGCACAGCCACCAGCAGCCAGCCCCCCCTCCGGTACACCTCCCGTTCTTTCCTACAGACCTGTGCCCCTCCCCCACTATGCACTTGCCCCTCCTCGAGGCCGGAGGACACGCCCCTGCCCTTGCTCCGGAATCCCTCCGCCTTTGCCTAGCCCGCCTCCTCTCCTGTTTAAGGGGGCGCTGGGGCCCAGCGGCCCCGAGCGCTCCTTCCCGGCCCCTCCCCTCCCAAAAGGGGGGAGGGGTGCGCTTCTTTTACTCTTGGAGCGCTGGGACCCGCCCCCTTCTTGCGCATGCTTAATGCTCCTTGGGAGGAGGGGGCTGGTCCCTCTGGCCAGCACCCGGCAGAAGTGGGTTGGGTACAGAGCTATCCTGAGAAATATTTTGATCTGGGAGCTGCGGCTTCCTTTCAACCCGACGGGGCGTCACTGCCTTAATGGGAGGAGCACTCAGAAGGGGGAGAAAGGGACTAACTAGCTGGTCTGGAGGGGTTGGTTTGGAGCTTGGAAATGTCCCAAGTGGCATAACCCCCTTTCGCTTTTGGGGTCGTCCAGACCCACCTGCACCCCCCCCCACACACACCGACTACTTGAATGCCTCTACAGCCTATCTTGGTCCCCAGAAACCTCTCTTTCATTCCCCAACCTGGGAATTGGGGGGTAGGGTCTTTCTCTGGAAATTCACCACGAGAGGAAGGGATGGCCAAGAAAACTCAGAACCAAGACACGTAATAGACTGGGTACAGGGTCCTGCTGCTTCCCCCCTCCCCCGGAAGTGCCCTGTCACTTCAGGGCACACTCCCAAGCCTGGGCTCCTGAAGTCCACAACCTTTTCCTGTCACTCAGGCCCCTCTGTGCCTACGGTGATAGTATTCAGTGGGAGAACTGAGGCACGTTGCTACTAGGGGCTTGAGACTGAGGCATGATAGCAGATGGAGTGTCGAGAAGAGCCTCATTTTTAAGACGAGCCTTGTTTTTAAGCACCTGACTTGAGACCATCGATTGGACCAGTGAGACTGAAGGGCGGTCAGAGCAGTGGAGGTGTGCCCTGTGCGCCTGTTTTTCCATGTGAAAAATAGGGATAACGATGCTGTAGGAGGAAGCTGTGTCCATTTCGGGGTGCCTTAGGGACTCTGCTGCCCCTGATGTTACCCGTTTAACTCCAATTCCCCGCTCAGGCCCCGCCCCTCCGGCCTCCGCCCCCCCCCCCCTTGCCCTCACTACCTGTATCTCACCGGCGTGTGTTCACCCCTCCGGGTGTCCACACACTCTCATTCACACACACAAATCTCAGGAACAAACGGTCCCAGAGTCCTCCGGGACCCCTGCCCAGGGTCTCTGCTGGCCTCTGCCCCACGCGTTCCCATCGCTGACAAAGCCACCAGCTGCCTCCTTTACGCTTGGTGCTCCGGCTCTGGGCCTTTCTTGCGCTCTCTCTTTTCTCTCTCTCTCTCTCTTTCTCTCTCTTTTTTAAGTAAACAACAACAAAAAGACAATGAAAAAAATCCAGAAAACGTCATGTGAGTGAAGAGATGTCATTGTCTGTGGTCTTGGAGAACTAGTCTAGTAGCTGAGGGGAGGGGTCCCTCCCATCTGGGGCACTGGCACCCACAGCAGGACTTCCGCCAGTCTGATGCCAGGACTGAATAAAGTGTATTTGCCCCTACCTCGCCCTGTGGTTCTACATGTCTGTGCCTTTCTTCAACCCTTCTCAGTTTTCCAGATTCAAGTCTTTTGCTTTAGCGCTGTACATGAAGAGCTGGGGGTCCTGGGCAAGGCACTTGGCCCCTCCAGGCCCCTGTCTCCCTCTATCTCAGGACTCCCTGACCCTCATTAAGGATGACAGACTCGTTCCTGCAGGGACCGGGCAGGCGACATAAATGGATGAGAGTCTGGGTGGACACTGGCTTCATGACCCACTTCCAGGTGGGGGCAACTGCTTGCCTGCCCGTTGTGACCTTGTGGGATTGCAGCCCACAGTGGCCAGGTGGCTAGGTTTTTCAAGAGAAAGTGAAGTTTGGGTATTTCTGAATATCTCAATTTCAGAATGAAAGCGGACTCAAATATTTTAAAATCTTTGTGGGCCAAATGAAGTGTATGAGGCATACCTGGTCCTGGGGGGTCAGTTTGACCCGTACCTTAATGAGGATTAAAAAACAGGATTGGGCCACACTGTCTGGGCTCAAAACCTAGCTCCATCCACCACGGCCTGCATGACCTTGAGCAAGTTCCCTTCACCCTGACTCCCATCTGTGTAACATGGGAATTGAAAGTACCTGCTTCTTGGGGTGAAATGAAGTTTGAGGTGAGAAGCATTTAACATGGTGCTCCATAAATTGTATTATTCCTTTGTCGAGAGGAGGAAACTAGGGTCAGGGTGGTGAAGTAATTCACAAGAGGACCTGGAAGCGGCCAAGGTCAGACACAGGGCTCCAAATCTTGGTGCTGTCTCTGTATTACTCAAGGGCGCCACTTCTCCCTATTTGAAACCAGATGGTGTAAGACTTGGCTCAGGGCCTGGAGTGGTGGGGTTGGTCCCAGTGCCTGGCACATAATTGGCCCAAAGTATACATTTCTTGAATGAGTGAAGAAAAGCAACGAGCCACAGTGATTCCTGCCCTTGAGGTTCTCGCCAGTGAGTTTTGGAAACCAGGACCAAGGCTTTTCACAATTCTTTCGTCCCCCTGGGGCCCCTCACCCTAGTTTTCCCTCTACCAGATCCTGTGGATTCCTCAGGTTAGACAAAGCCATTTCCCCAGTAAGAACCAAGGCCAAGTGTGCAGGCCTTATTCAGAGAGGGTCTTCGGGCCCTGGGATACCCGTAGATGACATCTGGAGGGCTAGAGCAGGTTTGGGAGGGCTGAGTGCCTACAGAAAGGTGGCCTGGGGCAGTGTAGAAATTACAGTGCTAGCGTCTCAGTTTCTTGATGGGAAGCAAAATGACAAAAAACAAAAAACTGTAAGAGTTGAGGTGTGGAAGACGTGTGTCACTCCGAACCGCCCCTGAGGAAGCTGTGGGAAGTATGGGCAGTGGAGAGCTCTAGCTGTCAGCTCTCGAGGGTCTGTCTGCTCCAGCTGCAGCGAGCCTCTCACCCAGGGCGGCCTGTCTCCCGGCGTCAGAGTGAGGTCAGGTATGACTGCCTGGCCACCTCACATTGGTGCGAGGCAGACGCTGGCAGGCAGTACTTGCATTGCCCGCCCCCCACACTCCCCCAGGGCCCCGCCGTGGGGCGTGGGGGGGGGCTTTGCCAGGCCTGCGTCACCCGTTGATTTCCTGTACCCAGTCCTGCCTCCCGTTTTCTTTTCACAGGTGTTTATCCCTAATAAATATTTTGCACCCCAAATTTAGTCTCTGTGTCTTCTTCTGGAGAACTCAGTCTGCAAGGGAGGGTGCAAGGGGCTGGACAAAGGGCGTGGTTCACTGGCTCGGCAACCGTAGCCGGGCACCTCTGATGCCCCCCACCCTTGGGAGGTGGTGTCAGGGGCAGCCTCTTCCATGACCCCCACTACTGCCCCAGACTCACGGTTGTACCCTGCCCAGTAGGCATCACGGAGACAGGCCATCTTCATCCCACAAGGCACTCCAGAGCCTCTGCTGATGTCATTCTCCTTCACAGTCTTTCCCTGGTCAAATCTTCACAGCCATCAGCAGTGTGTGTGTGCCCTTCAGAATCCCCAGGGTGGGGGCAGGGCAGTGAGAGGGAGGGGAAAATACCTGGCCGTTCACAGTGCTAGAGCGCTGGGGGACCTTCGGGCCAGGCCCTGCCCCTTTGCTGGCCTTAGTTTCCTTATATGGAAAGTGGAGGAGGTGGAATAGGAATAGAGGAGACACCATTTACTACTCGGTTCCTTCCATTTCAGAAGGAAATGGATTCTGACCTGAGAAAGGTGGGGAGATCTACTTATGTGGACTCTGGGGACACCTAGTGGCTGAAAGGAGTAGGAAGCAGTTGGAGCTGGGGGTCGGGGTGTGTCCCACAGCGTTGCTGCAGTCTGCCTTTAGGTCAGGTCCTTTGCCTGGGTTATTTGAGCCATCTTGGTTCCAAGACTTGAAAGACACTTACACACCGATATGTTGGTTATGTATTGCTGCATAACAAATTGCCAGAAACTTAGCAGCTTAAAACAACATATGTGTATTATTTTACGGGAGTCCAGGTCTGCCTCAGCAGGGCGCTGTGCTCCGGACCTCACAGGGCTGCCGTCAAGGTGTCGGCTGGGCTGCATTCCTCTCTGGGGCTCGGCCTCCTTTTCCTAATTCACATGGTGGTGGGCAGAATTCAGTTCCTGTGGGTAAGGACAGGGTTCCTGTTTTCTTCCTGGCCGTCACCTGGTGCCATATTTGATTCCTCAGAACCAGCCACTCAGCTTCTTCCTTCAGAGGCCATCTCACAGGGTGGCAGCTTACTTTGTCAAGGCCAGCAGGAGACTCTTTCTCAGCTTCGAGTCACTTGACTCAAGCTCTCTTATAAAGGACTTGCTTGACTCAATCAGGCCCACCCAGAAAAATCTCTGACTAACTAAAAATCAACTAATTTGGGACCTGAGCTGCATCTGAGAAATCCCTTTGCCGTATAATGTAACCTCATCACAAGAGTGACACCCATTATACTCACTGGTGTCACCCACAGTGGGGAAGGGCTTAAGTCCATCCTGCATACTGGAGGGTGGGAATCATGGGAGCCATATTAGAATTCTGCTTAACTGTGGATTCTCAGGCCTATAGCTCCATTCCAACATTGCCAGACCCGTGTGTCTAGCTGCCTTCTTGTCATCTCCACTGGGATATCTAATTGGCACCCCAAACTTAGCATAACTAAACATGAAATCTTGCTTCCACAAAGCTCCCAAGCCTGCTCCCCAATCTCACCCACATCTTCACATATTAGTAAAAGGCCAAAAATCTCAGCCGTTTTGGC